ATGAAGTTTATTATGAGTGTATTCTTTACAGATTTAACTGCTACGTTTAACAGCCCTCTTTTCATGCGAAATCCCCAAAAATGGGTTCGTACTTGGCCGCGGGGGACGTGGGGAGTATCGCAAAAGTAGGCTCGCTAGGCATCAAACAGTACAAAAGTGTCATTGCTAAGTTTGATGGAACGGATGGAAAGCTGCAGAAGACCCGGATGTAAATAGATAGCAAGAATAGCAAGAATAAATAAATAAATAAATAAATAAATAAATAAATAAATAAATAAATAAATAAATAAATAAATAAATAAATAAATAAATAAATATCATTAATAGCATGAACTCGTAAGTACGTAGATGACTAAATAATACGTCTCAAACAGATTCGTGCGTATTGTCCTTTCCAAACCCTAAACAAACATCTGCTTGCATGGATAAAAGCACCTGAAATCAGAATTTACACCTTTCCACCACCTCTGCGTAGGAGCGTAATGCACGGCGCACACTCGGACCAAATCGATCAGTGATAGCCGAGCTCCTCTTTCACTCTGAAGGGAAATATGTGTTTTGAAGGCACACTGAAGTTTCCGAAGGTGTATCCTCACAATGGCACATAAGGAGTCGATTTTTCGGGTGGGTCAGAGGGTAGCGCGTCTGTGACCCATCTAAAATATCTCCTGAACTAGCGGGTCTTCAGGAAAACTGTAAAGCTTATTGGAAAGAGAAAAGATAGGGCGGTTTCAAGACGATTTAATCCTGATGAAATTGCGTTCGAAATAAGTAATCCTCGTGTGAAGCATAAAAACCCGCTTGCCATTTACCCCTAGCCGATCCGAAACCCATCCGAAATATTTCACGAACGGGGAACATTCAGATTGCAACTGGGTAGAAAACGCAACAGTAGGAACATTCCCGTTGCATGCTGCTAACCATTCATCAAAAGCCGCGCCCCTCAAAGAGATATAACCCCCCGAAAAGACCCCAGGACGTTGGCAGGCCCAACAACCGCGCTCCAATGACGTTTTTCCAATGAAAGCGGTCGCAACGTTGCGATCGATAATAGCCAAGTATAGAACGATATACTGCCGCCTGGTTATCCATTTTCATTTGGCTCCGCATTTTTTGTATTTTTCATGTTTCGCTTTGTTGTGTCGTGCATGTTTTCATGATTTCCCCGTCACCATTCATTGAATGCACATCTGGGGCCTGACACACTGACCTTGGGGCTATTTTTTCACCAATTTAGCTTATCAATGATCACCATTAGTCGCTGTTTCGATTGTGTTCCTTGTTACAAGTTGCATGTCATACATGGTTGTCGAACGACGAGTTTTATTTGAAGACAAAATTGTAGGTAATGCGAGGCTGTTGTTCAGCCTCATATTGCATGAGGCTGAAACAGCCTCTTATTGCCTGGATTTTAGAGCAGAGTCCGCCTTTCGAAATCCAGATTCCATTTCAGGAAGCCATTTCGTGTGAACATGCATCTGGTTGTCAGTTAGAGCAGGAGGGGGGGTCGTAACTGGACCCTCTTCGAGGGGGGGGGGTCGTACTCACTCCGCCATTTCGCACATCCCCATGCTGTACCCTGTTTGCAACGTTACAGACGCGGGATTATCTAGAACATTGCCGAAAATGCACAATACGTACACAGCCAGACACATATGACGTTCCCGATTTGCGTAGGGCAGTCGAGAGTGTAGTATCGATAATTTTTTTTGATCAATGCTGTCACAGGAAGATCTGCAGATGGGTGTAAGGAGACTACTCCGCATAAGGCCTGTAGCTTCGCGGAGCGTGTCGCGTTGCTTCGAGGTCTTCGGAGAGATGCGAAGTGGGATAGAGGAGACAGGGCAGCGTGGTTTTGGAAGAGGGGTCTAAGGAATAGTCAAGCAGAAGCAGAAGGCCAGCAAAAAACAAGGAGGATCTCGCTGCCTACAAGAGCTGCAAGGAACCCTAAAGCAGGCGTTACCAGCGCCAAGAATACGGAAATGGACGCCCTGTACGAGAAGCTGGAGAGCCGAGAAGGGGACAAGTTCGTCTTCCGCCTGGCTAAAGCTCGGCATCGCGCGGCTCAGGACACCAGGGTAGTAAAAACTGTGTAGAGTTTTTGAAGTCGTTTTGTTAGATAACTGCTGTTTTACGCCGCAGTACGCGTTACGAAAGTTATCACAAGAATGCTGAGTTGTGGGCAAAAGTCGTGCCCCAGGCGGGAGTCGAACCGCACAGGCTGGTCAACGCTTTTCCGGGCGAGTGCGCTATCCGTTACGCCACCAGGGCCTATTTACCCTCTCAGCTTAACGGCTTATGCCGTAGCCTTACAGCACTCACACGTTTAACTTGGTGAGCCGGTCAGCCGTAATCGTTAGATATCGGCATGGAACCGCAAGGCCGAAGGCTTTACAAGTTTTTGAAGCTGTTTTGTTATGATAACTGCTGTTTTACGCCAGCTGAGAGGGTAAAAGCGGCCCTGGTGGCGTAACGGATAGCGCACTCGCCCGGAAAGCGTGAGGTGCGGGTTCGACTCCCGCCTGGGGCACGACTTTTGCCCATAACTCAGCATTCTTGTGATAACTGTGTAGAGTAGCAACGGTGACACTCTCAGGAAACCAGCCGAAGTCAGAAAGCGATGGTAGGAAATACGACTTTTCACGGACACACCACCAACCTCAGTACGTCCCGCCATTTCGACCGCGTTTCCATATGATCTGCGAACCCTTTGCTAACCATCCCACTTTCCCCGTCTCGGAGTTCGCTCTGCAGCCGAAATACGACTTTTCCGTGACACACCACCAACCCTCAAGTATGCCCCGCCCATTTCGGCTGCGTCTCCTCCATATGGCCAATGGACCCTTTGCTAACCTCATCGGAATACGACTTTTCTGTGACATCGGAAGCACCACCAACCTCAAGTATGCCCCGCCCATTTCGGCTGCGTTTCCTCCATATGGTCTGCGAACCCTTTGCTAACCATCCCACCTTCCCCGTCTCGGAGTTGCTCTGTAACGGAGTACGACTTTTCCGTGACACACCACCAACCCCAAGTATGCCCCACCCATTTCGGCTGCGTTTCCTCCATATGGTCTGCAAACCCTTTGCTAACCATCCCACTTTCCCCGTCTCGGAGTTGCTCTGTAACCGGAGCACGACTTTTCAGTGACATCGGAAGCACCACCAACCTCAAGTATGCCCCGCCCATTTCGGCTGCGTTTCCTCCATATGGTCTGCGAACCCTTTGCTAACCTTATCGAAGTACGACTTTTCAGTGACACACCAATAATCTTGAGCACCCACAGCCCATTTCGGCTGCGTCTCCTCCATATGGTCTGCGAACCCTTTGCTAACCTTATCGAAGTACGACTTTTCAGTGACACACCAATAATCTTGAGCACCCACAGCCCATTTCGGCTGCGTCTCCTCCATATGGTCTGCGAACCCTTTGCTAACCTTATCGA